GTGGGGACCAGTGTGGGTAACTATTAAGCTCATGGGCACAAAGGACAAACACAAAGTATACTTGGCTGACATTGAAGACGAATGCATATTAAGAAAGGACTTGTATCGGTAAAGTTTCTTCAGAAAGAATTTTTACGGAAAATTAACTAATGAATGGAGGCGTAACAATATATTCAAAATAAGCCAAATGTATGCACAAAACTTCATTACATTATTGGTTATCATAGCTGTATCCAGAGCTTTAAATAATTGTCTCTTTTTTGTCAAAAGTTCACACAGACTGGTTCAATTACTTTAGAACCCAACTGAAAGATGAATTATTCTCCTCTATCTCTGTTATTACAAAACAAGCTGTGAATTTCACTTTAGAAATCGCTCATTATGGCTAATTCACACACAGTATAACTTCACTTGGTCTCATATATATATTGCCCGACTGAGGCCTAGAACCTTCTACAAATGACGAGACATCATGATGTTACAATAATCGCCTAAAGCAATGATAAAAATTCAGAAGAGGTCGAGTAACGTGATGTCAATTCACAATTGAACTACACAACAAACGATTCGTAAACAGTTATGTAAGCAAACCAGCAATAAATTATTGTTTCTAAAAATGCTAAAGTTAACACCTGCACTTTGTAACTATCTAAGTCGTAACTCTCCTATACACCATATTATACAAAGTCTTCTCACATAGTCTTGCACCAACATTTGCAGTTCCCTTGTTGGTATCTCGTCACATAGGGCATCTGATAGAGCTTCACCTTGAGTGTATCTCTGATCGTGGTCATGATCTTGTGTTCCACAAAGTCTGTATTGCCTTGTCTATCTGTGAAGACATCTGAGTAATAGCACAGTAGCTGTTTCTTCTGCTTGCCAGCCAGTTCTTTGCTTATGTTGACGTTCTTGTACATCTATCTTCATCCAGTGGTCTTAGGTCTAGTAAGTCTTCATCCTCTATGACAAAGTCACTGTCTTCTGATTCTGCATCTATAACAGCTACACCTGCTATGTTCATCTATGCCTCGATAGCTGCACCTGTTAAGTCCTTTTCCTTCTCAAAGTACCTCTTCAACATATTGGCATGGTAGATCTTGGTCTTCTCATCCACTTTCACTTTATAGTCCATTCTGTTGACCACTTCCTGCATTTCAAAAGGTCATTTCCACTGTACGGTGAGTTTGTTGTTGACTATTGGTAGCAGAACTAAGACCTTTAGTCCGATCTTGAAACGTTTATCCTTGGCCTTCTTGTCCTAGAAGTGCTTCTGACTGCCTTGAGATGCATATAAGCTCTCTTTAACAAATTGAGAGGTCTCCTCCAGTCTGTTTCTGAGGTCTAATACATACTGGTATGTGTTTATCAATTATGACTCTTCTTCGCCAACATAACCTTCACCTATTGGCATGTTGTGATTTGTAGGCACCTCTCTATGTTTACACATGCTCCAATCACTACTGACACTGTTGATGCATTTGCTAACTTTGAGCTGTCTATTAGTCATGCACTGTTTAATCATGGAAATATCATTTCCTTCTTGTGGTGAATCTGACAGGTTCTTTCTATTCTGTTTCTTCTGGTAGCAACATCATCTTTGTAGGTAGCTCCAGCTGCTTTATGTTGAAATCTCTGCTGTTGCTTGTTGGTGACAGACTTGCACTCATTCTCAATGCGCCTCATTTTATAACAAACATAGCATCTTTTCTCCCTTTTGTCCATTTAGTTCTTGTCACCTTTGGTGGTATCCTGTTTCTGGTCAACCACCCTTTATCTGGTTATTCTAGAACTTGCCAGTTATACTCCCTCCAGGTGCTTCCATATACTGTTCTGCTAGCTTAATCATCTCGTCCAAGTTTTTTTGGTGCTCTCTCCTTTAAGAACAGTGACATGTCAGTTGAGCATGTAATCACGAACTGTTCATGTATTAATAGATTTGCCAGTCCTTCAAACTATTTTCACACATGACCATGTTAGTCCACCTTGTAAAGTATTGATGTAGACGTGCCACAAATTGAAATACAGTTTCTCTAATGTCAGGTTTGACTTCTTTGACCTTCTAGTGAAAACACTCCTTGATAAGTTCATAACGTTTTAACAAAACCACTTTTAACTTGTCATAGTCTATGGCATTTTCTGATGTCATGCCTGCATACACTTGTAGGCCTTTTCCTGAGAGAAGTGGGCTGAGACTGACTGCCCAGCCACCTTTGTCCCAGTTCTGACTTTGGGCAAATCTGTCATATCTCTCTAGGAAAGCATCCAAGTCGTCTTTCTGTTCATCAAATTTGGGCAGCTTGGTTTGGCTGGCCCTGAATTCCATTATCATTCTGTGGTCCTTCGTTTTTATGTTGGGTGAACTTTGCAATCTCAATTTGTGCTCTTATTCTCTTTATTTCCAGTCTCTACTTTTTATCAATTTGTGCTTTTATTATTTCTAGTTGCAGTCTCTCCACTCTCCATTTGTGCTCTTATTCTCTTTCTCTATTTCTAGTCTCTCTTTTCTCTCATTTTTTTCCTATTTCCCTCTCTTCTTTCAGTCGTTCTTCCTCTCTTCTCTGTTGACGCTTTTCTCTCTGTAGGTCTTTTAAGTATCTCAGTTTTGACTTCCTTGTTGCAATAGTTTTGTAGCATTAACATTTTCTAAATTACTATAGCTAACTAGGTTATGTACATATCCATCTCTACTTGTCTTTATAAGATTTAATGTTTTTATTATACTTAGAAAATATCTTTCATGTGACATTGTTTTAAAAATATTGACTCAAAATAGGTGATACGAAAACAAGGATATTAAGGACAGTGTTGTATTAAAACCTCAATAAATAAGTAAAATGCTTGCTAATCCAAAAGTTTTTTTTCTTGTTATACAATTGGGCAGTTTTTCTGTATTTAACAACTAAATACCAGAGCCAATTTATCTTTTCGAGTCACCTGAATGAGCACTAGATGGCGTAAGCGACAGTTGAATAAATTACTGTATTGTAAATATCACCATACCGGCGCTAAACTCACAACACTTGAGTCTAGCCACTTTTTCTTTTGGAAATTCACATGAATCCAATTATAACGATAAAAAAGTCAAGTTATATCAAAGTAGTTATTTTATATGACACCGTGTTTGATTTTTATGAGTTATCCAGTGTTTAATAGAACAATAACAACAATATTTTGTAAAAGTAAATAAACATAATTTCAAAACATTACATAGGATCACAGAGAGAGAATAATACCAGACTAGCCCGAGAAAACTACGTGTTCATGTTTATTCGTTTAATATATATTCTTTATTTAAAACGTGAGCTAGTATTGATTTCATTTCACTCTCATGACTTATTAATGTGTTAAAAGTGTAACATCTTTCTATAGCAGCACCTTTAGTAACAGCACAGTTTTTCTGGTTATGAAAAGAAGAATCTAAACTAATTTACCATAACTAATTTTTAAATGATGAACTAGAGGGAAAACAGCTAGTCAATAACACCCACCGCCAACTATTGTCTGACTGAATAGCTTATATTTAACTGTCACTCTCTTAGCGTACTCGTGGTGAAGAACGTGTTTTTGTAGCAACCGAAAGCAAACTATAAATCTTCGGATTCACAGACCAGGCACGTTAACCACGCCAAACTCTTTTATCATTATTGTCATAAATTTGAAATCGTTTCCATGAACATCTAAATATACGCTTATACAGCAGCAGATCTTATGGTAATCTATGTTTTATTACAATATCTAAAGAAATATTTCAAAAATATACCATGTTTTATTATCCTTGCAAGTTGACACAAAATTTTCATTGGTGTTTTTTCAATGCTTAAATTAAATTGAACATATCAACGCAGCTGATTCTTGAGGATTTTATTTGAAATATTTCTTATACATCGACTACAGCAACATTTTTTACATCTTATCTAAAATTAAAAAACAGAGGCACAGTGTTCAACATCATACAATTTATAATCAGAAACACTTCACACGAGTATATTAAATTTCGCTACAGTAAAGCTTACATGTGCCAAAACGTCAGCACAACTCACAAAAAAACGATAAACAGCGAAGGAGCACATTTTCCCTATTTGTTGCAACAGGTGCAAACAATTATTATAACACGAGTCAAAATATATATATACTAGACTGATACGGTTTCATACTTATACATATATATATACTAGACTGATACGGTTTCATACTTATACATATATATATACTAGACTGATACAGTTTCATACTTATACATATATATATATACTAGACTGATACGGTTTCATAATTATACACATATAAACTGGTAAAGAAAATACTGTCATTCCTTGTACATTATTTATTTTTTCTTTAATCATCTACATCAGCGATTCTCAAACTGTGGTACGCCAACCATTGGTGATATGTAGGTGGTATACGAAAAAGTTAATGTAAAATTTTAAAACTTGATATAAGCCCAATTTGGTGTTCCCGCCTACACTAGTCTCATCACTTTTCACCTGCATAAACCCGTCAGTGTTTTTCTCCTTTCAAATTGAAAAACATCACACTACACATTCTTATTTGTGCCAGGAAAACAATCACATCCTTCCCAATAATAGGTAAGTGTTATATTATTTTTTGCTACTGGTTTTTTCGTGTTTTTCTTTAAATTAGGCAAAAGTTAAAAAAAAAACATTTTAAAAAACAGTTTAAGCAAAAAGTGGTATGTGTGTCTGAAAAGTTTGAGAACCACTGATTTTACTTGTATTTATTTTTTTAATATTTCGTACAACCGCCAGAAGTTATGAAATGTCCACTCTAATACTACGAACTAACGAATTTACAAAAATCTAGTATCTTAGTTTCTTATATTTTATACTCAATAATCTACGTTTTTTTAAGTGTAAGTGTATACAACCACTTCAAGATTACTATTAGTTTAAATAATTTTCCAATCATAAGGACGTATGGAACGCCAAATTTGCGTAATTTCGATTACTGTTCATCATATACATAAACTCGTAATCACATGAATATATGCCAGTTCCCGCCACATTTAATTAGATATTTAGCTATTGTTCTCTGAAACTGACAGCTCTAACTAAAATAAAATAAAGGGTTTTTCATATGAAAACTGCACTAACTAAAACATTTTTTTTGTAAGCACGTGCAATCAAAGAAAAACACACATTGAAACTAATACCCGTTTCTATTAATAGAAATGATGCACTGAAATTGAACACTGCTAATATGAATTACAGACGTGTAGACGCAGACTTACAACGTGTGTAAAATCCAAATCCATTAAAACCACATCTTATAAGCTTTTCATTTTAAAGTTAATGAAAATAAAAGCGTTTATTTTCCTTTGTTTTTACCATAACAAAATAAATAGAACGGCTCATACGTTGCTAGGTGGGTTGTTCGTCAGAAGACTGTCAAACTCTTATTTAGCCTATATTAGGTAAAACAATATATATGTTTTGTTATAGTTTAGTTTTCTTTATATAGTTTTATAGGGAAAATATATATATAAATATAAACGCTTTACCTGGTAGAAAATATATTGTTAAATTCTAAAATCGAAATTATTTTACTCAAATATTGAACGCTCTACGTCTTCAGAAATCATGCTGTTTCAAAGATGGTTACATACAATTTTGTTTGTTTGTGTTTCAGTGCAAAGCTACATGATGGGCTATTTGCGCTGTACCCACCGCGGGTATCAAACCTCAATTTTTAGTCCTAACAACGGACAGGTTATATAAAAGATATTAAGTTATCGAAGACTGAAAAAAAAAACTCATCCTGTATAATAGTCGAGTAACATTAGTTATGAAATGTTACTTTAGTGATATACTTTGTCCCGATATATAGTCTGTTTTGTTTACCTTAATTTAACAATCCACAGAAAGGTTATGTTTAGTTGCGATGAAGAAATGGCTTACGCCTAACACTCAAACTGAAATCTTTTATTCAATAATTCACAATAATCAGATTTTTTATATGTTATTTTTACTGCTCTTTGTTATTAAAACGTCCTTTTGAAGCTGTATCTTTAGAAAATGTAAGGGATAACGATCGTTTGGAACATACACATTAGGTTAAAAAAATGTCACTAATAGTTCCCTTTTTTAAGAGTGTAAAATAATAGCTTCACCTGTGCATTAGATTTATAATTTATAACGTAAAAATTGGTATTTTATCTTGATTGATCAACACAGCTGTATTTTGACCTTCGTCTGTCAACATAATAGCTTTTGCTGTTCAAGGTTAATATAAAACAGGGCTTTCAAGATCGCTGAATTGGAAGACTATTACCATCACAAAATTCCAAAATGTCAACATTATCACTAATTCCTTGTAAATCCACGCAAAAATAAAGTACTTGTTCTTCTTTATGTTTTGTTTGTTTGTTACAGCGCAAAGCTACACAATGGGCTATCTGCACTCTGTCCACCGCGGCGAATCGAACCCGGATTTTAACGTTGCAAGTCCATAAACTTATCGCTGACTCGCTGGAGGACTTAATTGAATGAATAATTAGAAAAATTATTAGGCTAGTAAAGGTGAAAAACTAGTTTCTGGCCATCAAACTATATACACCTGTACAAAATCCTCCAAGCAATAAACAAAAGACAACTTTATTTGGCTTTTTTGTTTATTTCGGAGATTGTACTGTATCGTAACATATATTTTTCTTACAATTTAGCACTTTACTAAAGTTGTGACAATCAATTTGAGCCTCTGGTGGGTATTAAAAATAATGTTTTCAAATTATCAGAGAAAGGTAAACGTATTAATTACAAAAACATGTTCGCTTCGGAGAGAGAAAATACAGAAGAATGCAATACGCAAAATATTATAAATCGTCATTGAACTCGGAATATATTACTTATGGTGGATAAACATATAACAACAACTTACACAACAACAACTCACTGAACTGGACAGATATTACTGATCACTTAGTTTCGCCTGGACGAGTGTGCTGAAACTGCTGGGATGGTCGATGGATATTAGGAAGGTGGTGCTACAGATTCATTGCTTTGGAAATAACAAGAAAAGTGAGGATTACCCTAACGATCGCATGTTTACGTGGCGTAACGCTTCGTCCATAACCTAGCAATCCTGTCGTGTTCTTCTCTGTGTTGGAGATACTGAGTAGCGATACTACCTACCAGCGGATCAGCTGAAATAATGAAACATTGAGATATTACCCAAAAGAACTAATTACACTAAAATCATGTTACAAAGAAATTAGCGTTTTGTAACAAAACTTCTAATTGTTAAGTTATGGGCTAAGTTCATGTGATAAAGAACAGGGACAAGCAGGAGTGATTTTTTCTAAAATCACTACGAGACAACATTCAAATTGGTCACAATATAGAATGGCGTGGATAAATGAACATTTTTAGAAAACAGCACTCGATCTAAATGTTGTAGAAACTCATTATTTGTCAACAATATATCTAAAACAATGATTTTTACATAAAAACAATCACCGATTATGGTTTTTATTGTAGTCTTCGATTTCCATCCTCATCACACAAAAATGACAATTTCTAAAATTACATTTCACGACGACATAAATAAGCTACACACCATATTTTTTAAAAGGTAGTATATGTTCACCGAACGACAGAAGAAGGCTATAGACACAAGAGCTACCCATTCAACTTCTGTATACAATCATTTCATATTTTGTTTGTTGTTCAAGTGTAAAGCTGCACAATGTGCTATCTGTGCTCTGCCCACAGCGGGTATCGAAAGCTGCTTTTTAGCGTTATAATACAGACTTACAGCTGAGCTACCGGGGAGCGTCCTTATTCTTACATTTTAACATTTGAAATCTTATTCTAATAGAAAGTAATGTGAATGTTTTAATTCTATATCAACTGAAGCTAGGTTTGAAGTATTTTTGGACTAAAAATTTGAATTCAGAGAGAAAGAACGTTCAAGTTAAACTTCTATATTACTTAATATACCCCCCCCCCCCCAAAAAAAGTGGCCATATGGTTCAATACGCTTCATTATAGTATAACTCAAAAAACTATTGAATACATCCAAACATTCCCCGTGATTTAGTTATTTGAG